CACCAGTGATTCTTGACGTAACTGCTTAACAATTTCACACCTGGTCAGTTCCCAGTACCTTTTGGTCTGAGACCATTTCATATTGTTCAATAGTGTGTGCATATTGGTAGCCAGAACTCAGCATGTTAAAGGTGGTTATAACTCCTAATAAAAAGTTACTATTATGATGTCTTCCTGATCATGGTACATACCACATGATGTAGTTACTGCTTTGTCTCCTGTCAAAATGGTGGTCATAAAAAGAAAGATTATGTTGCTGGAAATGTTATAGATATGGAATTACTTGGAATTTCCCTAGAATCTGTGGTCAATGAAAGGTAAAGCATTACACAGATGCCATGACCTCATGCAGTGTCCTTGAAGGACTCAGTTAACTAAAGTTAAGCTCTATTGCTTCCTCTTCCGCTTCCACATCTACATTAAGTACCTGGGCCTTCTGGGTAAATTTCTAGTGATGTTTCAGTACATAAAATGAGTAAGATCCAGGCAGACTTGTAGAAAGAATAAATTAATGCTCAACTTGGGAAGTGTAAGATAGTTTCCTTGAAATATGATAGTCCTTCATTTTGTTTTGGTTCAGACTCCAAATTGGTTTTGAATTTATTAGGGCCCAAAGAAATAATTTCCAGCTCTATCCTGACGAGCTCTGAGCGTTTCCCTCTGGAAATGAAGAGGTCTGGTTGGTTGGAGGAGTCAGATGAATTCATTGCTCCTTAAAGCCAGTTTCTTTGTTGGACCTGACAGTTCTAGGTTCCTGGGCTGGACTATGATCCTGTCCTGTTTCTGACAGTGAACACATCATAAGAGGCAGTGTGACACTCAAGTGTGACAGGAGCGGCTCCTCTCTGTGGCTTTGATGTCTAGCAAGGGGCCAGGGAGCCAGGAGGTACCGTACAGCTTCTGGATGTGGTGCCAGGCCTGTCCTCACCTCTGCTGTGTGCCGCCATGGTGGAGGAGGAGCAACGAGGAGTGTGGTGGTGAGCACTGGGACCTGTGAAACTTGTAGACTCCACTCTAGCCACAAGCCTGAGACTCAGTCTTTTGTACAAAAGGTAAATCTTGCCGGACTATTAGGATCACTGGGCTTATCCCTTCCAGGATTTCTGTCTGCCTAGCTCGTTCCCTGGTGAGGAATGACAACATCTCTCTCCGGTTGTCCTTTAGCCTGTGAGTATAAAGTAGAAATATTGGCATGGACATGGTGAGAATGAATTTCTCTGGGAAGCATTTTGAATTCCTGAGAAGTGAGATTGAGTTAGAAACCAGATCAGATCCATTTTTATTTCCCCCAGCATTGATCCTAGCAGCTAGCCCAGTAGCTGTTCACTGACTCTTCACTGCTAGGCCAAAAAGGTTTTCAAAGGTAATTTACTATTAAATAGCCTTATTGATGTTCCCTGGGAGGAGAGAGAGCTCTTGGGCATTCAATAAGCAGCATCTAACCTGCCAATTACATAGAAGTCATTTCCTTCAACAGCAGTAAGGGAAAGCATGCAGCCCATTTCCTGACCCTGCCTCCCCCTCCCCTCTCTCCCACTGGACATTGACAGACAATGTCTGTCACAAACTGTTTCTAGGCTTCAAATCCTGGCCTGATAGGGATGATGCAGAAGAGAGTGATAACAGTCTTTCTTCCAAATGGCCCTGAGATCTGCCTGCTCCAGAGGAAGGCCAATGGAGCACCACCCTTATGCATGGGATTGACCTGTCCTGGATTAAAGGTGGTGCTTGTGTTTGTTTCCCACACATTCAATATCAGCTTCTGACATTCCTCATGTGGTGGTCAAAGGATGGATCTTTCCTGATCACCATGCATTTAAGTAATTACAAAGGTTGTGTGTGTGTGTGTGCGTGTGTGCGTGTGTGTGTGTGTGTGTGTGTGTGTGTGTGTGTGTGTGTGTGTAAGTTCTGAAGCACTGCAGGATGAAAGAGGTCCTGCTCACAGCCTTGTTTCCAGTAGGGGAGAAGTGCAAGTACTGTGACCCCAGTGTGATGTAGAATTGAGGTGATGAGGAACGATTGCGCATGAAGATCCCCACCTTGAGGAACAGATAGGAATTTGGTAGGTAGGGATGGAGAACAAAGCGATAGTGAGGCAAAGGCTGGGTTGGGTGTGGAGAGCAGTAGGTTTGGGGGGAAGAGGGGGTGTGGGTGGGCTTAGCCAGAAGGGGAGGGAGCTGTGCCTTGGGAGAGCCCTGGATGTTCCCTGAAGGGCTATGAGTACTTCTTATACTTTTCATGTTACATGGTAAGCACACTTGTTCTTCCCCGCCCCCCCCCCAGCTCCACAGGCCATATTGTAGGAACTGAATAAACTCCCTCACAGACAAGTGGAACATTTTTTTGCCTGACTATCCAGTTTGTTGAACATACAACTGAAAGTTGCCTATTTTCATTCTTAAAAAAATGCAGAAATAGGGTCTGGGAAGGTGGCTCAGTGGTAGAGTGCTTGCCTCACATGCATGAGGCCCAGGTTTGATTCTTCAGTACCACATAAACAGAAAAGGCCAGAAGTGGTGCTGTGGCTCAAGTGGTAGAGTGCTAGCCTTGAGCTGAAGAGCTGAGGGACAGCACCCAGGTCCAGAGATCAAGCCCCATGACTGACAAAAAATAATGCAGAAATAGACAAGATAGTTGAAGGAGTAAGAGGCCATCTGGGTTCCAATGAGTGATCAGGGCCTTTCACCCCTGTTTGACAGATAGGTATAAAAACTGCAAATCCATTAGTCCCTACCCTCATCCAAAATAGGCAGGGTATATTCCTGTTCTGTGTATTATACTGATATGAGTAAATGCTATATATAATTGATTTGGCTTAATGCTCCTAGACATGCCATCCTGTTTGTCCTAAGGGATTTGTCTGATCACAGATACTCTGCCTGAGTTAATATTTTATGAGGTCCAATCATAACTGGAGTCTAGAAATGCGAAGGAAGCTGTGGTATTGAGGACAGTTTTTTTTAATATATTTTTATTGTGAAAATACTGTTCAGAGGGGTTACAATTACGTGGGTAAGATAATGAGCACATTTCTTATCAAGCATTGTAGCCTCCTGCTTTGTTTCCCCTTCCTGTCCCTTCGTATCCTCCCCCCCCCCTTCCTCCCCCCCCCACCAAAGTTGTAAAGTATTGAGGACAGTTTTACAGCACACAGGACAGCTCAGATCCAGAGCACAAATCCCCATTTGTACTGTATCAGAACAAGTCCCACTTCCTGAATCAACTAGTACTATGGATAGTGATGAATTCTGACAGCTCTTTCTCATTATTTAGAACCTTGCCCTCCCCAAGCCATATTCATGTTGGATTCTTAAAAACATTTATGAAGTTATTATTCCAGCATGCCCTAAAACCTATGTAACTATTAAGTCATTTAAGCCTCAGAATAAGCAACTGAGGTGGGTAGATGAGTTTTGTTTTGTTTTCAGAGCCTAGGGCCTGGACCCTGGGCCTGGGAGCTGTCCCTGAGCTAGCACTCTACCATTTGCTACACCTCTACTTTTTCTGAGATTAATTGGAGATAAGAGTCTCATGGACTTTCCTTCCCTGGCTGGCTTTGAACTGGGATTCTCAGAGCTCAGCCTCCTGAGTAGCTAGGACTACAGGTCTGAGCCACTGGGTCCCGGTTTGGTAGGTAGATTTTTGCTATTCCGTCTTCACCAGTAAGGAAATGGAGGCCACGTAAGTGAAGTCACTGCCCACAGTCTCACAGATAGGAAACAACAGAGCAGAGAGCTGAACCCTGGAAATGCTCCTCGAGCCTCTGGTCTTCAGCAGTATGGATATTCCTCTTCCTCACTCATTCCTGGGCAGAGAAGGGACTGAGTTGGGATTGTCTTGTCCTCACCACTGTTAGAGCCCTTCTCCAGCACTGCTGCCTGTGACATACAGGTGGCCCTGGCTCCTCCTCACAGATGACAGTGGTCTGCTGCTGATTCTTGCCAGCAAATGAGAGCCGATCTTGACAAATTTCCACCATCATCTTGTAGCCATGTAGCCATCTGCTTCCTATGTAGGATTCTTTTTTTTGGGGGGGGGGGGAATCTGGTCGTGGGGCCAGAACTCTGGGCCTGGGTGCTGTCCCTCAGCTCTTCAGCTCAAGGCTAGCACTCTACCACTTGAGCCACAGCGCCACTTCCGGCTTTTTTTCTTTTTGCTTATGTGGTGCTGAGGAATCGAACCCAGGGCCTCAGGCATGCAAGGCAAGCGCTCTACCAGTGAGCCACCTTCCCAGCCCCCTATGTAGGATTCTTATGCTTGCTTTCCCTGTCACCAAGTACATAGAGTTAATATAGGCTTGATTCATTGTCCCCTTGCCATCTACCTCCTATGCAGCCAGAGTTGATCATTTTCTGACTGACGCAATGCCACTCACTTTGTGTTTGGACAGGAAGTATGCAGCCAGATGCAGGTGAGGGTGGAGCAGACAGACACACTCACAGGTGGATTCTGGTGTGGAAGGGACTAGTGCTGTGCAGGGGGCTCTCGTATTCATGTGAACGGCTCATTAGGTACCTTGAGAGATCTATTTATAGCAACTTCTGACTTTCAGGCAGTCTCTTCCTCATCAAGCATAGTGTTTGCTATACAGTAGATGCTCTGCAGCATGAATGAGTGCCTGACTGAATTTCCAAGTTCTTTTGGTAAATGGCATCTCCAAGGGCCCTGTAGATGTTCTTTCCCCTGCTGTTATGGGGGTTGTAGTTCCTCCATCTGGCACTTCCTTCCTGGATGACTGGATAGTCTCTCTCTCTCTCTCTCTCTCTTCCTTCCTCTCTCCCTCCCTCCTACATTAACTCAGACTGTGGCTGGTATTCAAGATTGGGTTAAGTGCCACAGATTTGGCTTCTTTGTGGAAACTGACAATTAAATCAACTTTCAAGAGCCTAACTATACAGGCCCAGGGTTTTATTTTCTCATTGGGATGAATAGTTCCCGTATCACACCAATATTCAGCAGGTTGATCATGCAGCAGTTTTCTTTTCTGTGTGTTTTTGCAGCCTTGTCCTCCCCACACCAGCGAGCTTCTGCCAAGATGAAGCCCATTGAAGAAGGGGTGGAAGACGATGATGAGGTATTTGAACCAGTGTCTCTAAAGACGCTTCAAGCCCATCAGTTGCCTTGATCAGAATTGAAGCTATCAAGCTGGAAGTTATCCTGAAGAGATCCTGAGAAATACCAGCCCTGTTTCGTTATTCTACTTCAGTGCATTCAGGCCAGCAGAATTTAGGGCAGGCAAGGAAGAAGGTCAGAGGTAGATGGTTATTTCACTCATCCTTCTTTTTGTCCAGCTTTATAAGTTAAATTGAGCCTTCTGACTAAAACTCATTCTATTTTAAGATATATATCCTCACAGTATTTTCTAGTGACAGTATATTGTTTTAACTTAATTTTAGGGCTCTATCAATGCATAGCCTCTCTCGCTTTTTCTCCAAATTGTGGCTCGTTTTCCTCACAGATTTTTTTTTCCCTCTCACATGGCAATTTAAAATGAGTTGTCCACTTGGTCATTTTAACAAACAGTGTAAGATAAAATTGAGCTTGAAGTAATAATATTAAGAATCAGGCAGTCTTGTGCTTTGTTCTGTAAACTTTTTAAGGGGAAAATGTAGCAAATGGTGTAATTTTGACTGGCTTCTTTTACTTCTCAGGTCAGGAGGTGACTTCTATTAGGTCCTTTTAGTTACATGAGCAATGTGTCAATAATGAGCATCTTCTCAGTGCACTCACATTACCCGTATGGCAGGCCATTTATCATTGAATGTGAAACCTGAAGCAGGAATGATAACAAATAGCAGTATTTCTCAGCTTAGTGCCAACTTTTTTTTTTTTTTTGGCTAAACTCAACTTCTTTGTGATTTGGAGCCATTTTGCCCCACATGCTCAGTCATGGGAAGCTGAGGACTGGGCTGGAGGAGAGTTGACAGCCGTGCTACAAGATGAGCTAACTAAAGATCAAGGTCATCCTTTGATCCATTTCTGGAGTCCCACATGGTTCCTTCACAGGCACAGAAATCTCTAAAGAGTGTGACAAGCTAAGAGTGACGGTGCAAGTTAGTAAGCCCAGCACTTGAGAGACAGAGGAAGGGAAATCTTGAGTTCAAGGCTAGCCTTGGCTACACAATGAAAACCTATCTCTAATCATCATCATCATCATCATAGTAATAGTCAGTGTGCCACAACTGTGGATGTGGACACAGACATCAAGAAGAGTACACCACAGGCTGAGCCATGGAGACTCAGTCGAAGTGTTTCTATGAAGGCCTCGATGGCAGATCACTCATTTGTACTGGTCATGTTTTAGGGCCCGGTGGTATTTGGCTGGAGAATGAGAGAGCAGCTTGGCTTCCATCAGGCTGATTGGTGGCTGTGGCACTGCATTGAGGAGGCATTGACTGGCTAGGCAACTCAATCCATCATGTTTATTTTGTTTCATCCCCCGGAAGCAGCTTAACAAGTCCCCTGCCATGTGCAATAGCTAAGAAAAGTTCCCAGTGAAGGCATGTTCTGGTGAAGCATTTCTGAACATGAGGTAACTTCTCTGCTAGAAAAGAGAAACAAGCTAGTCTAGGCCCACCTAGCCCTCTTCCCGGAAGCCAGCTTCACTTTTCACTTGAGTTCAGTTTGTACACTAGGTCTCCTTGAGGACATTTACACACAACTGAGACCACCTTCCTCCACCTCTGTCAAATATTGGCTCCTTTTCCGATTAGAAAGGCCAATGATTCTACTTTATTGATGTAACAGGCTTTTACATGTGCTTAGCTAGGAGTTTCTTTCAGAGAAAAGAAGCAATGTGAATGACAGCATTGACTTGAAGATTGCCATGGTCTCTGAGGTGGAACTAGCCTTCTATGTACGGAAACCATGCCTGGGATGATGTGATAATATTGGCATAGCTTTGTGGTGGTAGGGGGAGGCGGGGAGACTGGGGGTCCTTGGAGTAGGGTTGAGAGCTCTGTTAGTTTACACAGCTAAAAGTAGGTGATATAAAATCATTTTCTGCTGTTACTGAAATGTGGGTTTTTATTGAAATGTATGTGTATGGTGTCACTGATAATGGAGATTAGAATCTCAAGATTAGGAATCTTTAAAAAGCCATTTTCCCTGAATGAGAAACATAAGCCAGTGTTTAAAGGCATGCCCCCTAGGGAACACAATGAGCCTCAGAAAAAAGGAGCCACAGCCGCTGAAGAGCCCTCCCACCCACGTAGACTGGACTGTGAAGTAGCAGATAAGAAAACAGAAAACGGTTTTAAGTGTAAGGGCTCCTGGATGACTTTAAATTCGTTCAACCAGATGAACAAGTGTATCGTTGTTCGGTGTAAAAAAAAAAAAAAAAAAAAAACACCAGATAAAAACACGCTTGCTGCCCATGTCTGCAGTAAGATACTTCCAGTGTTTCCTTGGCATTCATTCATTCATGATCAAAATTTAGAAAATGATCTATAAAAATTGTTCTCTATATAGTCTCCCAATCTATGATTTTACATGCAACATCAAGTCATTTGTTTGAATCTGAAATGAAGTATTTATGCCAGAATGTGTCATTTCAAATATTTTGCAAACTTTTGTAATACCTATATTTATAAGGCCAATAGCACAGATATAAATCCTCAGTGATGCTTATCTTAAGTTAGTAATAATGGGTGCTCTATCATTATTTTTTTAGTTGCCACCTTTGGCTTTTCTTTGTTCCCTATCACCAAATAGTGATACAGTGATAGGGAGCATTGGACCTTTTGGGGCTCTGCTGCTCAGTGTGTGTCTTCAGATGCCACTTTGCTACCTGCCTCCCCTTTACATGTGTCTGAAGCTTTGCTAGCTCTATGAATGGAGCTACCCATGTTTGCTTCTTAGGTCTCACTGTGGTTTTCCAAACCAATTCAGTTAGATGCTGGCAAATGTAACCTACACACTGCCTGCTCTCCAGTGCACCTGGCAGCCCATGGCAGACAGGTCAGTCCCTACCTTTGGGCTCTGTGTCTTCCTATGGTCCCCAGGGTGCAGCTTCCAAGGATTCTCATTGTTCAAAATGAATCCATTTCATCAGTCATTTGTTTGACCCTGTCATGCTTCAGTTTCTCTTCCTCTCCCCTTTTCCAACACTGGTTTGCCAACCTCCTTTCTAACTGTGGCCAAGCAGAGGTATTAGCATTCCCACCTGACCCCAGGGTTGGATAGGACACTATGCGGAGCGCCAGGCTGGCCATCTCACTATGGTTCTGTGCTTCGCAGGCCACACTCTCACTGACGTTGCCATGTTTTGTCCATCACAGAACCACCAACACTCTGACATGATCTCAGTGTCATCAGTTTAAGAAACCTGCTTTTTCTGTTGTATTTGCAACCTAGTTTTAAAAACTCCCAAGGATTTCACGAGTGCTTTATACCTACATTTTAGGAAGCTATTTTTAAGTGCCATTTACATTGATAAGCTTTACTTTCTAATAAAGATAAATCATGTGTGATTAGAGCCCTACAGCTTAAAGAACCTTCATATATTACTGTTTGATCAAATAAATTTCTTACTTAGAAAAATGTGTGTTTATTTCACTCCTTTTACATGTGGGTGACTTGGGTGGTTTGATTTTTGTTGTTTGGTTATAATGAGAATTGCTCTGGTTTAGTCTAAACATACAGCAGCAGGGTTGCTCTTGGTTGGATGAATTTCTGAAGCTCTGTGCCTCTGGCCTGGCCGCCTCTGAAGAGGGAAGAAGAGGACTGTGGGGACAGCACCACCGTGGAAGAAGACTGCAGAGCTCCCCCATGAGGATTGTGAAGTGCAGCCTTTCATTCACCATTCCCAACATTCCCTTCTCATTGATCAGGCCTTGCACAATGAGGAGTCACCTGAAGGAGTCAGAGAACCTACCTTGGATCTCTTCTGGGGCAGAGGAGGGGGACAGTCTGCTTTTCCATCATCCTTCCAAGGTATCATACCACAGATCTGTCAGCTCACTTTGTGGCTCGACCCCAATATGAAGGAATCTTATGTTACCATAAAAGGAATGGATTTTGTGGCTCTTAGAGCCATGTCACCAAGGGCTGATGTCTAGATTCCCAGCCGTCCACTTCCTATTGAGCAGCTGTGGGGCAACTTCCTGAGTTCAGCTGTGGTGTTCATCTCAAGAGCTCTTGGGAGTTGTCTGTGGGTTTCCTGTCAGATGTGGCTGCAGCTTGCCATGAGGCAACACTGGCAGGCCCTGGCTGGGGATTCGTGGGCACATAGGTGGCAGCGAAGAGGACAAGGCTCCTGGCTTGCATCACTGCTCATTTCCTGGCTAGAGACAGGGCCAAGGTCCAGCTTTGACTAAAAAGCCGGAGTTTCTTCCTTAGGATGAATTGAGAGGCCTTTGCAATAATGGAGAGATGCTGAATAAGTAACTGGACACCTAGTAGAAGAATCTAAGCAGAAGATAAGGATTTCCAGGCTGAAAACAGCACTGTGAATGTGATAGCTTCCAAATGCATAATCTTCTTTTTTGTGACATGTTTTTCTCACAATGAAAAAAAAAATTTTTAAATCACTCAATGAGCCCAGCACCAGGTTCATCTCTGTAATCCTAGCTACTCAGGAGGCTGAGATCGGAGGATTGTGCTTCAAAGTCAGCCCAGGCAGAAAAATCTGTGAGGCTCTTATAGCCAATTAACTATGATATTTTCTTCATATACATTAATCAAAATAGCATTACAGAATATTGAACATAAAGCAGACATGAGACACCAGCTCTGGCTTCGGTTAAGCTGGATTTGTTCAAGTTTGCGAGAAATAAGCTAGGTGCTAGTGGCTCACATCTGTTATTCCAGCTACTCAGGAAACTGAGAACTAGAGGATCTCAGTTTAAAACCAGTCCAGGCAGAAAAGCCTGTGTGATTCCATCTCCAAAATAACAACCCCCCAAAAAGATAAACTGGAGGTGTGGCTCAAGTGGCAGAGCAGCAGCCAAGCAATTCAAGGCCTGGGTTTGAATCCCAACATGGCCTAAAGCAGAAAACAATGCCATTTTAAAAAAATTATTAATGATTTCCTGAAAATAAAAGTTTTGTGAAAGTTTTAAGAGAATTTTTTTTATGTGAACAGGGAATGGGCTTATCATTTTTCAATGAAATAAAAAATATTTTCTAATCATCTCTGCTTCTGGCCTGTGCACCCTTCCACATCCAGGTTCTTATAATAAAAG